ACACTGTCCCAATCTCTCACCCTGTCCCAATCTCTCACCCTGTCCCCATTTCTCGCACTGTCCCAACCTCTCTCACACATTGTCGCAGTCTCTCACCCTGTCCCAATCTCCCACCTGTCCCCATTTCTCACATACTGTCCGTCTCACACACTGTCCCAATTTCTCTCACATATTGTCCCAATCTCTCACACTGTCCTAATCTCTCACCTGTCTAATCTGTCACCCTGTCTCAATCTCCCACCTGTCCCAATCTCTCACACTGCCCCAATATCACACTCTGACTCAGTCTCTCAAATTCAGATTCTGTCTCAGTCTCGCACACTTCTACACAGATACCCACTCTGGACGAAACTCAAATTCTGTTCTAATCCCACACTCTGTCCCAATCTCACACACTGTCCCAATCACACTGTCCCAGTCTCTCACCCTGTTCCAATCCCACACTCTGTCTCAACCTCACACCCTTGTCCCAATCTCTCACACTCTGTCCCAATGTCACATAATGCTCCTTTAAGGGAGCGGGTCAGGCGACCCAGCACAGGTTCTAGGGGAGCAAGTCTAAGACCAATTGTGGAGCTAAGAGGATGTGCAACGAAGTATTGCCTGTTCATGTGTATCCTCGGTCTACCTTGTGTTCCCTTTCTGGTTCTAGAGAACCACAAACACGACAACTGGTGACGAGTATGGGATTCAGGCCACAAACTGTGTGCGACTGCCATTTTCTTTCAGGGTTAAGGATGTCACCCGGACTCCGTAACCAGTGCGGGATTGTGGAAGTAACGTCGAGGGCAGTGGTTGTGAATGAACGCGACTACAGTTGACGCCAGCATAGAGCAGTACACTGGCTCAGTCACTGAGGGAGCGGCCAGCACAGGGAATGTTCACTGAGGGGACTCCGACTGTGAATGGCTACTAGACTCGAGTGGCAGGGAAACAAAATGGCAGGCCAATTTGGGGTGATGGAGCCATTTGGTGAAGAGATGGAATTTTGTACGCTGTACACCGAATGTTTTGATACATATTTAAAGGCGAATAACATGGCTGAATACATAATAGTACCAGTTTTCTTCAGTCCCGTTGGGAGTAAGACCTTCAGGATTTGAAGGAGCCCGGTGCAACCAGAAAAACCTGCAGGGAAAACAAACCAAGAACGATGCAAAGTGTTGGGGAAATATTTTGCACCATCCCAGTGATGATCACGGAACATTTCTGTTTTTATAAACGGGTGCAGCATGAAAGGGAGACCATCACACAACTAAAGCCCACCTTAAAGAGATTAGTGGAACATTGCAAACTCGGAAGGTTTCTCCAAGATGCTATGCGGGACTGTTTGGTTAGTGGGCTCCAACACTAAGCTATCTAATGGAAGCCACTAACAAGAGGAGACCTGGATTTTAAGGCAGCTTTTGAAATTGCTACCTTAACGGAAGTTGGCCACCAGCAAGACAACACAGTTGAATGACGACACCTGGGTGCATAAAGTAGCAGAAACCCAGCAGAGTGCAGTACCCAACTGTAGAATGCTGCCGATGTGGCAAGAGTGGCCACAAGGTGTTGGACTCAAAGCCCAGTGCTGCACGTGTAAGCGAGTGGGCCATATTGCCTGAAATTGCCGGCCCAACTGAAGCAAGAGAAGGGGTGTTTAAAGGAGACAGTTTGGGGTACAAAGCATAACATACGTACTGCCAGCCAGAGAGGAGACCTGGAGTCTGAGATAGTAAGAACTGCCGATGCTGGAGTCAGCATTAACACAGCGTGGAGCTGGAGGAACACAGCAGGCCAGGCAGCATCAGAGGAGCAGGAAAGTTGACATTTTGGGTCGGGACCCTTCTTCAGAAAATTTTCT